CCAGCATTTATTGCCATAAAAGAGGATTGATATCACATAGCAGTTCAGCACTCTTTTCTTTGTAACTAAATTTTCCTGTTTCTTAATGTTTTGCTTGGCTTTTGGAAGGCATCTTTTGCTAATCCAAAGCATGTTCAAATTTTGGTGTTGTATTTTCCATCGCCTGTTAAAACACTTCCCGGATATTTAAACTTCTGTACTTGTTTGATGTTGATGCCCCCAATTTGTAGGACATATCTTAGGCTTTTTTTTTTTTGTCTTACTGACGACCAGCCTTTTTATCTTTTTACAGTTGGTGGCTAATCCATTTTTTATCATTTTACTTGTCTAGGTGGTTGTGTAGTTTTCTTTCTGTGTCTGTCATCAACACAGTGTCATTTGTGTATTGTATATTAAGATTATGTTCCCAGATAATAAGTCCTGGGAGGACCTCTACAGTAAGGCTATCCTAAGGGATAGCCTTATCGTAGAGGTTGAACAGAGCTGGAGAGAAGACACCCTTGTCTTACCTTTCTTTGTATTTTTGTGTACCTTCTTCTTTTATGTGCCATGTCCCTTCAGAATGTAGGCGATCATGGCTCTCCACTTCCTCCTATACTTTGTAGTACTCAATAAGTTTTGTCTTTTTGCTACTTCTCCCTGTTCTGCTATAAACTTGCTTAAGCCCATTAAGTATGTCACGCATTCCTTCCCCTTGACCCTGTATCTGCCCTGTGAGTATCAAATTTTCCAACCCTACCTTTCTCATTATGTGTCACAGAAATTTCATCTGCTTTTTCCTGATGTTTTCTCTTTGTTTGCATCCTCTTCAAAACCTCATTGTTGCTTACATGTTAGGTCCATGGTATCCTTAGCATCCTTCTGTAGAACCATACCTCTGTTGTCTTTAGTCTCTTCTTCATCTTTGCGGAGACTGTCCAACATTTGCTGCCGTAAAAGAGGACAGATATCATGTAGCAGTTCAGTAATCTTTTCTTTGTTACCAACAAAATTCTCCTGTCTCGTAATACTCTACCTAGCTTTTGGAATGCGTCTTTGACAATCACAATACGTCTTCAGATCTCAATGTCGGACTTACCGTCCTCTGTCAGAACACTTTCCAGATATTTAAATATCTGCACCTGCTTGATTTTAATGTTGCTGACCTGCAAATCGCATTTTGGGCTCGTTTTTTTTTGCTGATGTTCATGCATTCTGTCTTCTTGTAGTTTGTGCTTAGTCCCTTCTTCTTGCTCTCCTTCGCTACCTCCTTCTGTAGGAGGTTTTCTAATTTCCTTTCTGTGTCTGCTATCAGCACTGTGTCATCTGCATATCTTATGTTTTTAAGATTGTGGCCACCAGTGATGAATTATGGTAGGATTTCCAGTTCTCTCGGAATTATTTCACTGTATAGGTTGAATAAGTCTGGTGAGAAGACACATCCTTGTCTTGCTCCCCTTTCTATTTTTGTATATTTACTGAATTCATTTTGTGTACCTACTAAATTCATTTTCTATACATATGCTTGCAATTTGCTCTAAGTATTAATCTTGGATTATTCTAACATCATTTCTGAATAGATCGAGTTTTCCTAACAATTTGATTAGATCCTTGTGTGCATTTGCATAATCTGTGAAACATAAGGGTATATGCTTCTGCCATTGTATTGCTCTCTCAATCATTGATCCAATGACACAAACATTTTTTCAGACCACAAAACTTTGCATTTACACTTCTCAGTCATACTACAGATGCCATAATACCACAATTTTGACTGTACTAAAGTTGCTTTTTTAAACATTCTAATTAAAAAAAAATCCTGTTCAATAGCAGGTTTTACATTTTTATAGCAAAGGGGTGATACAGATTCAAACCCTGCCACATTTTCTTTATTAAGCCTTCTTCAGTATACAGGCCACTAGACTTAAGACACTGTTTAAAAAACGTGTCTCTATTCAAATGCAGATATTCACGAAAAATATCATTTGAAGTAATTATATACTGGGTGTAACAGCAAAATTGTCCAATTGTTAGATTAAGATTTGAACTGTTGCATCTTAGAAATGATTAAAGATATCTTACTGGAATTCTCAAAGGTTTATATAACACCATTGGAATCTAATTTGAACAATAAGAATGTATTTAGCTCTAAGTTGAAATGATGATCCCTTTTTCTGTTTTGACCTCCTGATCCAGTTTTCCTCTCTACTGTTCCCTCTTTTTTAAACTTATTTGCTGTTCTCTTGATGGTTCTTGAATGAACTTTGAAGATGGAAGCCAGAGTATGAATGTTGGTACTATTACTGAAGGCCTGAATGATCATTTTCCTCTCACCATTGCTCAGTTGGGAAGACATTGTGGACCTGACACAAAATAATTTTAAACTGTCCTCTTTCTAGCTGAATAACTAGAGGGATTTTTCAATGATTCTTATGACAAATGGTGTCAAGATGGCTAAACGTCGTATCTGAAAACCTGGCAAAAAAGAAACTCAATTAGATTGAAAACATTTTGTGGGACGGACAATTATGCTGTTACACACAGTGTATGTATGCATAATACCTCTTAATTGCTGTTGTTCCTAGATCCAGCCTGGGCTGGGGTTGTAGCACCTTTTAGGGTCCCAGCTATGGGCAAATGGTGTACAAAATACTATGAAAGTATAAAAATACCAGCAATATTTTTTATATTTAAAAAGGAAAAAAAATTATAGAAAAATGACCAACAATACATTTCATCTATAATTGAAGGCATACCATTGTGTTCAAAATATATCTAGCTGAAGGCATACTGCTGCGTTCAAAATATATCTAGCTGAAGGCATACCGCTGCATTCAAAATATATCTAGCTGAAGGCATACCGCTGCGTTCAAAATATATCTAGCTGAAGGCATACCGCTGCGTTCAAAATATATCTAGCTGAAGGCATACCACTGCATTCAAAATATATTTAGTTGAAGGCATTTATATTTTTTCTCATTAAACAACCCATAGATGTTGATATGTCACTAAACAAAATCAACCAACCAAACAAATTAAGGAATAAGAAAAACAAATGTTCTTGCTTTCCCTCCTAAGGCCAGGGTACTGATGAGGGGTGGGGTTATGCTGATGACCTAGGTATTCATAGTTGGGATATAAATGATTGCTAACTGACCTTTACCAAGTGTTCCATGAAATAGGACTCAAACCTTTCCAAAACAATCTATGATCTGTAATTGAAATGGAAACAGTGATGGCATGTACTCCAAATCCATCATAAAGTTTCAGCATATATATATATATATATATAGTTAGTAAATATTAAGCACTTGAATTACTTCAGAGTATGGATCAGTTATAACAGACTAAGTATAGGAGATAAAGAAACTTAACAGAGAATAGGCTGCACTCGGAGTAGTTTTGCCCAACTCTGAAAATTACTATAAAACCAAGACATTAACTCCAAAATCTTGAGCCATATTCTTAAAGAGCCTTATCAGATCAAGACATTCAAATGAATGTTATGCATGGTACCAAACTTGTTCAGACATATCTAAACTGGCAGCTGTATGCAATTGCTTTTTCGGATCAAATTGCTTTGAGCATATGAAGCCTGTAGGCCTTGGCAAAGACCATCTTTCTTCAAATCTCATTGATGTGGCATTATAAAATCACAAAGAACTGTACCAAATAAGAGAAACCATATCACTTGAGGACTACCAACAGCAGCAACAACTAAAATGGATAGCACATGTAACTGTGAGAGAAAATAATGACATAATCAAGATGTTAATGTTCTACATTATTTAAAACCAAGATTTAGGAAGAAAGCCCCACTCCATACTGGAAAGAGCAATAACAGCTAGTGGATTTGAGAAACCAATTTTCCTGAAAAATCGTTTTAATACAAAGATTTGATAAATTTCAACTGCTGGTTGCTCAGCCAATGAATGTCAAATGTTTCCTTAGAAGGAAACGGCTAATATTACCATAGCTACAATAGTAGATTTTGTGACACTGATTCCTCGGTAACTGAAACTATCAAAAAAAAATCTTTGCTTTGGTGGTTCCCAGACAAATTATGAATTTTCAAAAGCTTTTATTTAGATTGTTTTCTCAGGAGTTTCTTGAATTTCTGCTAGCTTGCTGCATGTCCCAAAGAGGAGAGAACATTCAGTCCTCTATGTTGTCTTTCTCTTAGCTTCCTAGTGTCATCATCTACAACAGGGATTGTAAAACCAAAACGGATCTGTTTGAGATATATTTTTTTTAAGTATGTGTCTGTTTTCTTGCAGAAATTTCAGCTGGTGTCCTGGCTGTCAGGATTTTCAAATAATATTGGGATTCTGATACGCAAAACTTTTTCTAATCTATTATTATGACTGTTATGATTGTTATTCCTCTGACTATTCTTCAGATCATTTTCTTACAAAACCTTCTCCAGAGAATCTGCCTATATTTCTGAGATGATATATTATGTACATTATTTATATTATTCGAACTATTGTCCTCATCTTTGTCGCCATATTTATTGCAACGTTTCGGCTGTTGTACGCTCCGGCCTTCTTCAGGTGGTTGGAAAGTCGAACTGAACCCTTTCTTTCGCTCACTGGGGTAGACTTTTCTATTTCCACAGGCCATGTTTAATGGATGTCAGTTATCAGTTATCTCCTCAAGGACACATGGCACGGTGGATAAAGGCGTTGGTTAGATGCAGTGACAGGACCCAAAGAGTGTGAGTTCATTACCTGGCTAAGGCAGTGGAGAACTTTCAGAGGGAAATTAACAGGAGATAACTGACATCCATTAAGCATGGCACGTGGAAATAGAACAGTCTACGCCAGTGAGCGAAATAAAGGGTTCAGTTCGACATTCCAACCACCTGAAGAAGGCCAGAGTGTACAATGGCCGAAATGTTGTAATAAATATGGCAACAAAGATGAGGACAATAGTTCAAATAATGTAAATAATTCTCCAGAGAAAATATATTCTTTTCAGTTTATGTATTCTGCCCCTCTTGGTGTCTAAGAAAATGTTTGATGAAATACTTGGTTGCTTTTGGCTTGCCTTCCTTCTTTTTACTAAATACTGGTGACCATCGAGGTTTTTCCGTAGTCAACAGTTTCAGTGACTTTGACACCACCTATATCTCTTTGAATTGATAATTTTGTGTTCGTATCTTTCACTTTGTCATTTTCTGAAACGGTTTCTTTAATAATTAGTTTATTCCATTTCTTTCTCTTCCCATCTCTCTCCCCCAGCTATTGGTAAAATAGTAGGGTTTACATCTAGAAAAAATTGTCAAAAAATTTTTAATGCAATATTCATTTTCAAAAAGAAAAAAAATTTTTTCTTAAATTGAAAAAAAAACAAACTTATGGCTTTAAATAACCAACAAAGGATTGATAAGCCATAAACAAAAATGATAAAGAAACTCTCTCTCTCTCTATCTTTTTCAATGTTTCTCTGTCTCTGTTTTTGCCACTTTCCATGTCTCTCTCAGTTTGCATCCTTTTCCATATCTTTCTCTCACCCTCACTTTTCATCTTTTTCATCATAGTTTCTCTCACTCCATCTTTTTCATCATGGTCTCTCTTACTATCTCTCTCCTTTTCATCGTCTTTTCTCTCTCTCTGTCCTTTTTCTCTCTGTCTTTCTCTGTCCTTTTCTTTTCTCTCTCTCTCTGTCCTTTTCATCGTCTCTCTCTCTGTCCTTTTCATCGTCTTTCTCTCTCTCTCTGTCCTTTTCATCTCTCTCTCTCTCTGTCCTTTTCATCGTCTCTCTCTCTGTCCTCTCTCTCTGTCCTTTTCATGTCTCTCTCTCTGTCCTTTTCTCTCTCTCTCTCTCTTTTCATTGTCTCTCTCTCTGTCCTTTTCATTTCTCTCTCTCTGTCCTTTTCATCGTCTCTCTCTCTCTCTCTGTCCTTTTCATCGTCTTTCTCTCTCTCTCTGTCCTTTTCATCGTCTCTCTCTCTCTGTCCTTTTCATCGTCTCTCTCTCTCTGTCCTTTTCATCGTCTCTCTCTCTCTGTCCTTTTCATTGTCTCTCTCTCTCTGTCCTTTTCATTGTCTCTCTCTCTGTCCTTTTCATTCTCTCTCTGTCTCTCTCTGTCCTTTTCATTGTCTCTCTCTCTGTCCTTTTCATTGTCTCTCTCTCTGTCCTTTTCATTGTCTCTCTCTCTGTCCTTTTCATTGTCTCTCTCTCTCTCTGTCCTTTTCATCGTCTCTCTCTCTCTCTCTGTCCTTTTCCTCTCTCTCTCTCTGTCCTTTTCATCGTCTCTCTCTCTCTCTGTCCTTTTCATCGTCTCTCTCTCTCTCTGTCCTTTTCGTCGTCTCTCTCTCTCTCTGTCCTTTTCATCGTCTCTCTCTCTCTCTGTCCTTTCATCGTCTCTCTCTCTCTCCTTTTTTTCGCCATCTCTCTCTCTCTGTCCTTTCGCGTCTCTCTCTCTCTTCGTCTCTCTCTCTCTCTCCGTCCTTTTTGCCATCGTCTCTCTCTCTCTCTCTCCGTTTTTTGCCATAGTCTCTCTCTCTCTCAGGTCCTTCCCATAGTCTCTCTCTCTCTCTCCGTCTTTTGCCATAGTCTCTCTCTCTCCTTTTTTGCCAGTCTCTCTCTAGTCTTTTACCCATAGTCTCTCTCTCTCTCCTTTTTTTGCCATAGTCTCTCTCTCTCTCTCCGTCCTTTTTGCCATAGTCTCTCTCTCTCTCTCCGTCCTTTTTGCCATAGTCTCTCTCTCTCTCTCTGTCCTTTTTGCCATAGTCTCTCTCTCTCTCTCTGTCCTTTTTGCCATCGTCTCTCTCTCTCTCTCTCCGTCCTTTTTTCTCTCTCTCTCTCTCTCCGTCCTTTTGCCATAGTCTCTCTCTCTCTCCGTCCTTTTTGCCGTCTCTCTCTCTCTCTCTGTCCTTTTCTCCGTCTCTCTCTCTCTCTCTCTGTCCCTTTTTTCGTCTCTCTCTCTCTCCGTCATTTTTGTGTCTCTCTCTCTCTTCTCTCTCCGTCCTTTTTTGCCATAGTCTCTCTCTCTCTCTGTCTAGTCTCTCTTTTCTCTCCGTCCTTTTTTGCCATAGTCTCTTCTCTCTGTCCTTTCATCGTCTCTCTTTCTCTCTCTGTCCTTTTCATCGTCTCTCTTTCTCTCTCTGTCCTTTTCATCGTCTCTCTTTCTCTCTCTGTCCTTTTCATCGTCTCTCTTTCTCTCTCTGTCCTTTTCATCGTCTCTCTCTCTCTCTCTCCTTCCTTTTTCTCTCTTTCTCTCTCTGTCCTTTTCTCTCTCTCTTTTCTCTCTGTCCTTTTCATCGTCTCTCTCTCTCTCTGTCCTTTTCTTTCTCTTTCTCTCTGTCTTTTTCATCTCTTTCTCTCTCTGTCCTTTTCATCGTCTCTCTTTCTCTCTCTGTCCTTTTCATCGTCTCTCTTTCTCTCTCTGTCCTTTTCGCCATAGTCTCTCTCTCTCTCTCTCTGTCCTTTTCGCCATAGTCTCTCTCTCTCTCTCTGTCCTTTTCGCCATAGTCTCTCTCTCTCTCTCTGTCCTTTTCGCCATAGTCTCTCTCTCTCTCTCTCCGTCCTTTTCGCCATAGTCTCTCTCTCTCTGTCCTTTTCGCCATAGTCTCTCTCTCTCTCTCTGTCCTTTTCTCTCTCTCTCTCTGTCCTTTTCGCCATAGTCTCTCTCTCTCTCTCTGTCCTTTTTTCGCCATAGTCTCTCTCTCTCTGTCCTTTTCCGCCATAGTCTCTCTCTCTCTGTCCTTTTCTTATAGTCTCTCTCTCTCTCTGTCCTTTTAGCCATAGTCTCTCTCTCTCTGTCCCAGTAGTCTCTCTCTCTCTCTCTGTCCTTTTCTCTCTGTCCTTTCTCTCTCTCTCTCCTTGTCCTTCCCTTTCTCTTTAAGCGAGCAACTTGTTTTCTATTGCTGCCTGCCGTTTCATTATTGCAAGTTATCACTAACAAAACAATTTATTTGAAGCATTGCTGGAGGCAGGCGGTCGGCAACTGCTGTTGTGGTTGTTAGTTTTTAATCTTGTGCTTTTTATTGTTGCTGGATCCAAAGAAATGACAGCTTTCATTCGTGGCTCTCTCTCTCTCTCAAGTAATTATCCACTGAAAGCATCCATGAAAATCTACTTCTGGTCATTGTCAGCCAGTCGACTGACCAGACAATGACACCTAATGAAAGGCTAGCTCTGTGGGTGGACATGGCTGGGCAGTGTGGGCTGCTGCTGTGTTTGAATGCAGCGTCAGCGGAAACAGATGATTTTTTTTTTTTTTTTTTTTTGTCTGTGTGTGTGTATGTTTCGCTCCCCATTTTCTACTTGTGGTTTTGTGGCATATCTGCTTTGGTATAATGTTCATGTTGATCGAAATACAAAGGAAATTCTTATAGGTTGGCAAAGTTTTCAATTGCTGTAAAACTCTGAAGTGCCACATGGAGACTGATTAGTGCTCGAACCTGATTACTGATATGCTGTCTGGTGACTTACAACACCTAAGGCGTCTTAGTGCGGTTTCTGTAATCAAATTGTTTCACAGGGCGGGGTGGTTGCAACCCTCCCACTAACTACTGTACCTCGAGGAATGGTTGATTATCAGCAGTGGTTTTCCTTCCCTTTGATGGCCCCATGTTCCCATGCTACAAGTTCTCTCTATGTTTGCCTATGTTGAGGAATTCAGTTTTTTGTCCTCCTACCTCTGTTTGCCAACTAAAGCCTAAGAGCCCAGTCTGGCCTATTATTTAACCCATAACAGAGGGGAAGAGATGGATTCATACTTTTCTCAAGAATATTTGCACAAAGTGAATGTAATGAGCTTGTCTGGTATTTGAACTTGGCTCTCGTATTTCTATCAATTACCCCCCCCCACACACACCCTTACTAGTTTTAAGAGTTTCAAATTGCATTAATTATTCTGTCCTGGGTATGACGATAAACCGCATCTGCATCATGGGTAACATGATAAACTACGTCCAACAGCAAGGCCTCTGATTAGGAGGTTTTGAGGAGTGTGGAACCGCCTCTTAATTGCTGGCGTCCCCAGGTCCACCTGTTAAGGTCCCAGCTATGGGCAAATAGTTAACACCCAGACTACATCCACATCCTGGGCAAGACGATAAACTACGTCCAACAGCAAGGCCTCTGATAATACGTTTTTGAAAAAATAATATTACCGGTTATACATTTTTCTTGAAAGAATAGTGTTGCCGGTAATACGTTTTTGAAAAAATAATATTACCAGCTATACGTTTTTTTGAAAAAATAATATTACCAGCTATACGTTTTTTTGAAAAAATAATATTACCAGCTATACGTTTTTTGAAAAAATAATATTACCAGCTATATATTTTTGAGGAAAATAATATTAACAGAAATAGATTTTTGACAAAATATTACCAGGAAAAATAAAATAAAAGTTGTCTGCATTAAATGACTCATTGAGGTTGATATGCCGTAAAACAAAAAACAAAACAAACCAAACCATTAATTATTTTGGAAAGTTTCCTCATTGTTGTTAGAATTTTCATATTTTGCTTGGTCTGTTCTCTGACTGTTAGTCTTGTTAGAAATTCTAATATGAAATCCTCATTCCTTGAATTGTGTTACTATCTTGACTATTTAAAACTGTTTTGGTTGAGTCTGATTTTTTTTTTTTTTTAATAGGCCAAAGTGTCACATAGTTTATTTATTGTCACCTTTCTCAAAAACCCATGATACTGAAAATGAATGGTTGAAAATTAAGTATTACAAGTTGATGTTTATATGAAAGAAAATTGATTTCTCTTTCAAATGAGACCAAATTTAGCCTCCTTGATATTACTGGTTATGAGATGTGGTTTTGGAAATCTACAATGCTCATTCAACTTTAATGTGTACTGTCTAGAAATTGATTCAATTTAATGTGTACTGTGTATTGAAATACAATGCTCATTCAACTTTAATGTGTACTGTGTATTGAAATACAATGCTCATTCAACTTTAATGTGTACTGTGTATTGAAATACAATGCTCATTCAACTTTAAAGACTTCACTGCTTGTTCATTCATCTGTTTAAAAAAGTTCCCTTCTAGTAATTTGGAATCCTTTATTAAACGCTGTGGTATTACTTTTTATGAGATGGGATTTTGGAAATCTACAACTTTGGATAAGCTTTAGATTTTCAAAGAACTGTAGATATCTGGTGCCACTAGTTGATCATGTGACACTGTATTGAAATACAGTGGATGCATTACAGATTGTAAGCATATGAAACTTATGGGCACATTTATGCACTTCAAACCTTAAAGAGTTCATATTGTCCTGAGGGTCATCACATTGATGTTTGGTATACGTTTAAACCCAGGCCTGGTTAAAATGTTTTGTTTTTTTTTTTCTTTATTGTTGACCAGGTGATAACTCCATAGCTCTTTGTCCATCTGAAGCTATAAGTAGGCTGATTTTAGGTCCACAACCTTGGATGCCCCTGTCATCTGTTGTTGTTCTCTTGATGTTTTTCTGTATGTCTACCATCTCCAGTATGGTATGCCTTATAGCCGTTTAGCTCTCTAAATTGGACCTTTTTTTCTTGTCTGTTGAACCACTGCCACCAGTAGCAGTACTTCCATCTTTATGCCTTCCTTTCTTTGCAGCAGTATGACTTCATTGATCCAGTTCTCTAATTCTTCCTCAACTTTCACCCCCATATCCTAGAGAAATTTTAATGTAATCATTCTTCAGTATTTGAGGTTTCTTTTTTCAAAAAATCTTTTGGCATCTGTAAACTAAAATAGCATCTGGAAGTCACCATAGGCTGCAGGCAATACTCCTTGTTAGACTAAAGGCAGTGGCAATCAAAACTTACCCACATAAATGACTGGTGTTTATACAAGGCCCAAGAGCCACTCAAGGTAGGGGGTTACTGTGTAATGTTGTATGAGTGCAAGAAAGGTTAAAAAAAAGTGAAAGATAATGGTTAACTGAAGAGATCAAGATTCCGTCTAGCAGATTATTATTTTTAGAGAATTGTATTTCTCCTCTGACTTCCTCATTTTAACCTTTTGAGGTCAGGAAAACAAAGCAAGTCATTTTTGATTGGCTAAAACTAGCATGGGAATGTTGGATGCAGAAAGGATTTTCAACAAGTTTTACACGTCATAGAATGTAGACTTTTTTTTTTTTTTTTTTGTGTGTCTGGGAACCAGTGGGGGTGATAGTGACCCCACTGCTGGTTAAAAACGCACACATTGACATAGTGAATAAAACTAGATAAGCTTAAAATTCCTTTGAAGTTCTCTCCTTTTTCTCTGAACAAAACAACTAGTGATTTGTAAATGTCGGGTTGTGGGACTGAGGAATATAGCTCATCAAAAGATATACCATGGAAATATTGTCTGTGTTGTAGGGTGGAAAATAATTCATCACCCACAAGGTTGTGTTTGCACTTTTGAATTCTATCAAGACAGGCAAGTTAGGATTGAGCAGCTCCAATCCAGATATGGCAGCAATACTCCATTTTTAGTCTGATCTGGCTCTTGTAAAGAGAGTATTGCGAGGATGTCAGATACTTACTAGAGCAACACAATAAGGAAATGAATAAATTTCAATAAGGCGATATATTTTTTTGTTTTTACATAATTGAGTAACAAGGAGATAAAATAAAATTAAGAACCACTACAAAAATATAATATCTAACAATTAAAATGAATTTTTAATAATGAAAAATCTTTCTTGAAGCTTTTATTTTAGTTTTAATTTCAAGCTAAAATATATTTTAATATTTCCAATAAACAAAATACTATGCTGTATTTCAAAACCAATTTTAATTAATTGGAAGGAGTTTTTTTGAAATTTCTAAATTTTTTAATTTAGTGTCATTCTTTTAGCAAAGTGTTATGAAAAAAAAAAATGTAAATCCTGCCATTAAAAAATCTTCCAAAAAATAAAATACTTTCTTGAAACTTTGAGGAATATTAGGTGGTTTAAAGTATAATTTAATCTGATTTGAAACAACTATTATCTTTTTTTTTTTTAAGTTTAAAATATCACGTGTGCTCATGCATTAAGACGTCGAAGCAGGGTCACCACCTTGTCCTGCGTGCTCATACCTTAAGACATTGGTGCAGGCCCACCGTATTGTCCTGTGCGCTCATGCCTTAACATGATGGTAGCTTTTTTTATCTATGTTAGCAGCTTTTTAACAATTCTGTGATATATTATTAAATAGATTTTTTATCTAATGTTGTCATATGGTGGGTGAGGCAGGGTATTTAACCTGAAAAAATAATTGAGGAATATAACAAAAATGCCTTTTAAGTACTCAGTAATCTTAAAAATTTAAGAAAATATTCTCCCCAATCTAATGTTTTATTGAATTTTGGCTCTAAATTTACTATGGTTGCTCTTATTTTCTAATAGTCTTGTGCATGCATTTTTTTTTTTTTTTTTTTTTTTTGTGGAGGTACCTAAATAAAATACCCTAACATTCATGCAAAAAAAAAAAAAAAAAAGAGAGAAGTTAAAAGTTAGGAATTGTGTGGATGATACACATGAGAGTATGTGTACATGTGTGTGCAGTCATTAAGGAGAAAGATATCACTGTGCTTGAGAACAAGGTCCCAGAGGTGTCACTTCTACAGCATGCTAGAAGGAAAAAGAGACACAAAGGAAGGAAGTGTCTTGTTTTTATAGTTGGTTGACAGCACCACCTAACAACTTCTTGGCAAAACTGGCAAATCTATGTGGAGATAATCCACACATTTGACTGTTCATTCTTTAGCATCAGATTTTTTTTACCCAGAAACCACTGTCTTCAAATTCAATTTTGTCTCCCACTCAGTAGCTTTGCTACTCACTACTTTTCTGCAAACTTCCAGCACTGTGGTACCCCCAAATTTCATTCTCTTTTGCACTGATGTCAATGCTCCTCCCTAACATCCATTCTGACAACAACATTAATCTCTTCAACAATGGAGTCCATTACATTTCTTATTTTGAAGCTTTCTCAAGAAATAATTCAATCAACTAGAACCAAGTATATCTGATTTAAATAATGCATTTGAAGACAGTATTTATTTTAAATGCATGCTCTTAAGATTTTGTCTTTGCGTGTTTTCATATTGATGTCCATTGCTTACAATGCGACGCAGTCGAATCACAAGCAGTAATCTGTGAAAATTTTCCATCGTCCTTTCTTGTTTCACCAGGTTTATTGATATCTGTGGTCTCCAGAATGGTTCTTGTGCACATTGTGTACAGTACCATCAACTTCAAACTTATTTCTAATTCGTGAGATCTGAATGAAACACCTTTTCTTACTGCCTTTGAACTTCAAGTGCATTTTTGTACTTCCAGTTGCATTTCAGGATGAACTTTCTTTGTTCAAAGATAAACCTGGATGACATTGGTTAGGGTAATGTATAAATCTGAAAAGAAAGCAAGTTAATTTGGGCTATACACTGTAAAAGTGTGTATACATTTTTTTCTCTTTTTTTATATACTCTGTATATAGCCGATGTGGCCATGCCAATAACAATTTAATTTAGTCTTTGGTTCTTACCAATCCCTAACCATACATGGCCTTTTCTTGTCTAAAAATTATTTTAGAGGATTGGAGACCTTATTTATCAATCCACCATCAAATTCTATAAACTATAAAATTCAAAGTTTAATTTTGATATTTTTTTGATATCCGGTGTTCTGATTTTCAGGGAACGGTCATTACTGCACCAAATTTCAGTGCAGCAATTGCCGCTGAGAGCCTCCACAAAGCCATGGCTGGACTTGGTAAGTAATCTTTAGCTTTTAAGTTTGGCTTAAAAATATAGATATTAGTTCTCTGTATTTCAAATAAATAAAATATATATATATATATATAAATAAATAAAATATATATATAAAGGAAAAGTGTGTATTTATTTTAAAACCAACTAGCAGAGGTTATAAGGAATTTGACTAGAGATCTGTTCATTGCCTTGATCTTGCCTTGATAAAGTCGGATGACGAGACGCATTGCCAAAATCTAAGCACTGTTTTACCAAATCATTGAGCAGAGCAGATTTCTTACTTAATCAGATCATCTCCTTTAGACATCATTAAAATGCCCAGTAATTTATCTTCTTTCCTTGTCTTTGCTAGGCTTGGCTGAAGCAATTGAAAAGTCCTCTGGGTGTTGTTGACCTGTCTGCTAATCAAAGAATACACAGACATTCAAACTCGTGTGTCTACTCTATTCTCTCTTTTCACTTTCATTTGAACAAACAAAATAATGAAAGATTTTCGTAAAGGAGCATTTATGGTCTGGCATTGCAACTTATCATCCCCAGGTAAATAAATATTTAGATGAATTCTTGCTAGACATGAAAAGTAAAACTGTCTAGTCGAGTGGATGGCTGGACTGAAATTAGCAGTAGTCCATTTGGTAGACCCAGCCAGAAGTGAGAAGGATTCTCCTCTTTGGACTTGAACATTTCCCTTCCATCTTTTCTTTTGTCTCACACTCCTAGGCTCATTAAATCTTAATAAATTCTACTAAATTCATTTCAGGTTCAAATCTTCCCAGAGGCTTATCCAAATTCACTTTATGATTTCTCATTGTTCTTTTTAATCCATTCTGTCTTTCTTTAATCTCTTTTGCTTAATTCATCTCCCTGAGTCATTTCGTTGGTGCAGGCCCACTGCATTGTCCTGTGTGCTCATGCCTTAAGACATCAAGGCAGGGCCACCTCCCTGCCCTATGCCCTCATGCATTAAATCAAAGAACCAGAATTAATACTGTTTTAACACTTCTCTATTTCAGGAACCAATGATCGAAAATTAATCTCGGTCCTGTCACATCATACCAATGAACAACGGCAAGAAATTGCGAAGGTTTACTTGGAAAAATACCAAAAGGTGACTTTGAGAACTATTTTTTTTAAAATTCGTTGAACAATTTACAGATCACATATGTTACCTGAAAATTCATGAAATCTGATCATGAAAACACTTTCCCCCAACATGGCATGTTTGTTTCTCCTGGGCACCTGAAGAGGTAAAAAATGGGAGTGGGCTGTATTAAGAACAGCATCATGTCTTCATTCAATGGCTACTGTACAGGATGTGATAAATATATTCAAGGAGCAGGAAGAATCCACAAGGTAGGGGGACATGAGTCCAAGAAGAGGAAGAGTCCATAAGGTGTGTGTGTGTGTGGGGGACAAGGTAGGGGGTGGGGAGCAGGAGCAGGAAGAGTCCACAAGGTGTGTGTGGGGGACATGAGCAGGAAGAGTCTGCAAGGTAGAAGGGTGTGGGGGGCATGAAGAGTCCATAAGGTGTGTGTGTGTGTGGGGGGGGACATGAGCAGGAAGAGTCCATGCAGGTGTGTGTGTGTGTGGGGGGACATGAGCAGGAAGAGTCCACAAGGGCAAGGTGTGTGTGTGTGTGGGGGGGGCATGAGCAGGAAGAGTCCGCAAGGTGTGTGTGTGTGTGTGTGGGGGGACATGAGCAGGAAGAGTCCCAAAGGTGTGTGTGTGTGTGTGGGGGGACATGAGCAGGAAGAGTCCGTGTGTGGGGGGCATGAGCAGGAAGAGTCCGCAAGGTGGTGGTGGTGGGGGGGGACAGGAAATTCACCACTGGACTTCATAAATATCAGCATAAGTGTATGTATGTATGTGTGGCTTTGGAGGCTTTCTCTGAGCATGTTATCTTCTAGATGTGAGAAACTTTTTCCATCTTGGGTGGGGCACCTATATATCTTTCTATCATATAACTGTCCCATTTGTGCACATCATAATCACAGCTGGGTTGACCACTTGTTTACATGTTAGTATTGCGTTCTGTGTTGTCACTGGACCCCAACACTACTGCATAGATGGTATCAATGGCAGTTTCTTTTTCTTATTTGTTTTATTAGAGGACGTGGACAGGTGTGGTAGCATGGATCTCGGAAACAGCAGGAGGAAGAACTTCAAGGGAACACATGCTGCTCATTGGCTTAGTGCCCCTTTTGCATGTGGTCTTAGCCTGTCTTTTGAATTTATCAATGTTTCAAAATTACTGCGGCCATCCATTGATGTTGTGCCATTTTAGACTTATATCCCAAACTTAGGCAATCCATCACTATCAGAATATCATACTCACAAGGTATTCTGACCATCCTGGCCCAGCCTCTGCATTCTGTAACATTGGGAACAGCCAGTTACATCCTGTGAGGCATGAATCTGCAGCTTGTGGCTATAAGGGTATCTTTCAGGTCAACCCCCTGATGCACCTTGCTTCTTTGACGCTCTGTTGCAATACTGAATGCAAAGTCTATTTTAGTAGGTGTTGAGCCCAGTAGATGTCAGGGTCATTCCAGATCAACTTCTCTGGTAACAACATGAAGAGCACAGTGAGCAGCCATGGGGAAGAGAAGTCCTGGGAAATATAGAGATCTGACCTAACTACTTACAAATTAAGTGATTTCTTGGTTCTTCTCAACAGACATCCATGAAGAAATACTGATTTTTTTTGATTTTTTTTCCTTAGAGTTGGCTGATTTTTTTTTTTTTTTTTTAAGAAAAGAAATGGGGAATAAAAAATTTGCTGATTTTGCCAATTATTTGTCTTAAATATAGAGCAATGGGAACTTTCTCTGTACACTACACTATTTGAAGGCGGGAAACATCCAGAGATGATTGAACTCCTTTTACTAGTAAAAGAATGTGAATTTATCTTTAGTTTCGCTCTATATATATATATATATATATATATATATAATGAGAATGAAAAGAATATATAAATTCTAACATTCACAGCATTAATTCAAAAGAGGGCTCGGTACCAATAGTAAAGCAATAATTATTTATTAGAATTTTTTCATATAGACAAAGACAAATTACTCACTACAAAGATGCAACCTTGTTTCAGTGCATTTAGTTGCATCTCATCTAGTGAGAAACAAAATGGTTATCTTTTGTATTTTTTATACCATTTTGCTTCTCACCAGTCTAGGTGCGACTAAATGTACTGAATTGAGATTGCATCTTTGTAGTGAGTAAATTGTTTTTGTTTATATGAAAAAAAAATATATATATATATACAGTGGCAGGGGGGAATATTAGTACACATACAAATTTTTAATTTATTGTATTTCCAATTAATGAATAAACATACTTTTCATATATCAAGGATGATTTTTATTTTGAATTGAATGTATAGATTTTTTATGTATCTAGAGTTATGGGAATGTTTTTTTTTTTTTTTTTTTTTTTTTTTCTATACATAAAAAAATCTATGCATTCAGTTAAAAATAAAAATAAAGATTGGTAAAAGAGAAAGGGTTTTATGACACTTTTGTTATGTCTTTTAAAGAAACTTTCTGATAACTCATTTTTTTAAAAAAATTTTGTTTATTTCAGGACCTGCAAGCAGATCTGATATCGGATCTGAGCGGACATTACAAAGACACGGCTCTTTCACTGTTCGTGCCGACAATTCTTTATGATGTCAAAGAATTGAAAAGAGCTATGAAGGTAAAATGTTTGCTCAGTTATCTCCCTTGCTTTCAAAAGATTTACAATCTTAAACACCTGGTATTATTAGCTGTTTCCTTTATAAAGAAATATTTGACATACATTGATTAGGCAGTCAGTACTATTGTTGATTGAAATTTATCAATTCTTTCTCTTAAAACTATTGTTCTGGAACTATAATTGCTCTTTCCAGTACTTATGGGGGTTTCTGTCTTAATGTTTTGTTTAAATTTAAACATTAAAAAAAAAACAAAAAAAAACAAGATTACTTTAGTTTGCCCTTTTGATTTGTTTAGTCAGGAAGAAGATAAATAGGCAAAATTAAGTGGGGATATCTTATAGTTGACAATATATTTCAAGCTTCCTCTCACTATAGGGACCAGTTGCTATTTGCTGGTTACTACAAATCAACTTTTAAGATGTGAACCTAAATCCGACAAGTGTGTCTGTTAGATTTACGTCTGGCATTTTATTTAGTCTTTGGTTCATGTGGTTTTAGGTTGTGTAGTAGGAATTTGCTCTTGCAGTCTTAATTTATTCTTCATCTATTTTACTCTACTAATATAATTCTTTTGATTCCCCCCACTAGTTTATTCCAAAACCCTTTCTTATCCTGGGTATGACAATAAACTACATCTGGAAACAAGACCTCTGAATGGGAGATGGAAGGTTTGGGGGAGAATGGAACCACCTCTTATCTTTTTAAAGCAGTGTGAACAAATAAGTTAGTAGAAAGCAAACTTCTCAACATGGTTGATTCAGATTCTGAACCCTTTCATCTCATAATTACAGAGCCTCACTCCTTTTGTTTCTAATCTTCATAATTTTTGATGGTTTATTTCTTCTATATAATAAATGCAAATGTCAGCTTTAAACTTTACTCCTAGAGGCCATAGCCCAACATATACCATTTTGGAATCGGGCTGACATTGTGAGCAAATTAAAAACATTCTGGGCTGGACCCAGACCTGCAATCCTCAAATTTTGGATTTCTAAGTGCAATTGTTTTCATTGATAATTTTTTTTTTTTTTTTTTTTTTTTTTGTGACAAATTTTTTTTGTATGATAACAATTTTTATAACTTGGGAATAATTGTAATTAATTGCAAAATCCAGCGAAAATCACCTATGAAATAAAAGTAATTGTTTGTATGGAAAGTAAGGACCTACATACATCAACTTGTTTTAAATTAAGTAGCAGCAAAAAAGAATTATCGTTGAACTTTTAAAAGGCAAGCTGAGATATTAATGTAATACTTAAATGCAGCTATCAATTTTGAGTTCTGGAGTTTATTGTTGCTAGTATTTAGTCACCCCCACCCCACGAAGGTATCATGTGGCACAAGGCCGGTTTAATGTGGGATCTCCAAGCCTGTGGGTTCGGCCAAAAATATACCATTTGAGCCCGTATAAACGGGTTCAGGGTCGGTTTACTTCCCCGAACGAGATTCCGCCCTTTAGCGTAGCCTCGTTCGGGTTCCTCCCCGCCTGAAGGAAGAGAGTTCAACCGAAACAGCCGGTCAAGAGTTGAACGGCTGATGGTTTATTGTTGCTTATCACATCTACTCCTCCCTACCTATTGTGGTGCAGGCCCAATCAAGAGCTCTCTGCAGGAGCTAGCATAAATGCCACCTGATAAGGTGGCTTTTAAGCTAGTCTATCAATAAATGCTGTTCTGTTTTATTCTTGTTAAATTACAAGACTATTCCTTGTTTCTTTTTTCTCATTCATTTGAGACAGCCTACCTTCTCTGGCAGAAGTCTTCATGCAAAAATTCCTACTGACTATTAGCATATTGATCTACAGTATATGTCATGTCCCTTCAAAACAGGTGACAACTTTTCAAAACTGTCTATCCCTGTAACTCATAGCAGTTTTTCTCCTTTTAAGACTCCTGCCTCCCATTCTGTCATCTGTTCACACAAGCTCGTCAGCTAAGTCTATCTCTCTTGCCCTCAATATGCCCTGTGAGCATTAAGTTTTCCAAGCCCTCTTTCCTCATTGTGTGCTCAAGGAATTTCAGCTTTCTTTTCTTGATTCTAAGTGTTCTTTCTGCTGCCATTTTCTTTAAAAAATTTTTCTTGCTTACTTGTTTGGTCTGCTGAATTCTTAGTATCCTTCTGTAGAGTGACATTTCTGCTGCCTCCAGTTTTTTTCTGATCTTCATTTGGGGAGTCATTGTCCAGCATTCACTGTTATATGAGAGGATAGATGTAACAGCAATCTAGTTCTTTTTTTTTCTTGTTTCTAACAAAATTTTTCAGTTTCTCAGCACTTTGCTTAGCTTTTGGAATGCTTCTTTTGCTAGTTTGATATTCAGATCTCGGTGCCATTTTCCATCCTCTGTTAAAGTGCCTCCCAGATGTTTAAACTTCTGCGCTTGCTTGATATTGTCATCTCCAATTCATAGTTTACATCTTAGGCTTTTTCTCTTGAGGATGACCATACTTTTTGTTTTTCTGTAGTTAATGGTTCATCCATTTTTTTTTTTTTTTTCTCGTTCTTACTTTCTTTTACTAACTTGTCTGGGAAGTCTTGTAGTTTTCTATCAAAGTTGGCCATGAACAGAACGTCATTTGCATATCTTACTGTTAAGATTACACCCACTGATAATAAATCCTGGTAGTTGTCTTAGGATATCGTCACTGTAGAGGTTGATTAAATCTGGGGAGAAGATAGAACCTTGTCTTTTGCTCTCTTTCTATTTTTGTGTACTTAATAAATTCATTTTCTATTTGTATGCATGCAGTTTGCTTCAAATATTTGTGATTTCGGTCAATTGATTCAAAAAAAATTTAATGAACACTATATTATTTAAAAATGAATAAATAAACACATGACGTGAAGTAGAAGGGGGAGGAGGAAAAGTTTTTCAATTTCCTAATACTACTACTGCTTCCTGGTTTAATTCAACTCTGACCATTAACTTTAACTTTTTTTATTTTATATATATATATATATATATATATATATATATGTAGCATATCTTCATTCAAGTATGTTTCATTGAATAATATAGACATATTGTATTTACTTATTTTTATTCTGATCCTTTCCAGTTGTCTAGTCAGTTTCTTGATGTTAAGATGAAATGAAATTCATCAAGGAAGGCATTTAATTTAATATAATTTTTTTTTTTTTTTTTTTTAACCCAAGTGTTTTCGATCTTTTCCAAGATCATCTTCAGGGGTAAATTACAAAGAAAATCTTATTGTAACTACAATAAGATTTGCATTCAACTGTGATAGTGATTTTTACAAAACACGTGCAAATGTGCTCAGTTTTAGAATTTTAAATTTATCTGTTGTAGGTAGGGAAATTTTTTGCAAAACAAGCATTTCAAAATTGGTAGAAATGTAAAATTGTAGCTCTAAGTTGAACCTGGTCAATCGGAACCAATAATGTAACCCCTTCCTGCCTGTATTTTCACAACTTTGTTGGGCTGGGCTCTGTGTTCCTGGGGGCTGCTATCTCCTAAGTTGTCATTTAACCCCATCTGAAACCGTTGCTCTTCAAGTTCCTTCTGACCACTGTGGTTACCATGTAGATGACTCCTTACTTCTTAATGCATTGTTGATTGGTCACTGGTATCATGTCGAGGAGATCCCCTTGATCGAGCTGGCATTTGTATCCTCCACAATCCTTCACTCCTCTGTCACACTGTGTTTTTGATCTTGGAGGGTGAGAAAAACACTGAAGTAAACTGATGCAAAAGACAGGTTTTCAGTGAGGGGTCTACACGAACAAGAATTTTCTGGATTGAAGAATTAACTCTTTGTTAAAAATGTAACAATGATTTTTGTTTATATATGATTTGTTGTATACAGCAATTTTAACCCCTCCCACTTACCATTATAATCAAATGACACTGGGATCCCCTTTTGGAGTTTGCAGCTTGTGTTGGTAGTAATTTAAATTTCTAAGTTCTGGTTTTCAGAGCCAGCACAAGGCCTTGGTCAGGTCTCTGAGAATGATGTGGATTCCAGTGGTAGAACCCTTCAAGTTGTTCAAACCTCCACCATACATGGAGCTCTGTGTCTGGCAGGGGTTGGGTTGCCCAGGGTTTAGGTTTGAGTTTGGTTATCCACCATCCTTAGCATCGACCTTTTTCTAAAATTCTATATTCTCAAAATATGTTTGTTCGAGTTTTTTTTTTTTTTGTTTTTTTTTTAAATTTTGAAGCAGGACAGAAGAATGAAGCTGCTCCTTATCTCCCTTCATGTCTCATCTTGCACCATCACTCCATAGAGGAGGTGCTAATTTCTCTCTCTCTCTCTCTCTTCTCTCACTTTCTTAGCATCTAACCTCAAGGGCTGGAACATTGTGCCTGTGATGAATCCAAACTTTCAGAATATGTGGGTGAAAAGCAGATTTTTAGTCATTAATCTTTCTTTATCAGCTTGTCTCACGCCGGTTGTTTTTAGATTTCTCGATCAACCGGATTACACAGCCAGCCGCCTATGGTCACTCTGGGGCTTGTAATTAATTTTTCTTTATCACTTGTATCCAGAGGAATCTGAATTAATGTTGGATATAAATTTTTTGAATACCACAGAAATTAAAATGAATGAACCTCTCAGGCTAATCTCAATCTTTGTAGGGACATTTTTCTCCTGGGTGGCTGCTTCAAAGCAGATGTTTATCTTGACTTTTTGTCCAGAACGATCTTTAAATGTTATTTTGGTGACCACTCGGGTTTCTTTATTGACATGTTTTTCTATTTGACATTTTTGAGGATACATTAATTCTGTCTTATTGGTGGGAAGTGGAGAAGGACAGGTAGTCTTGGTTTTGCTCAATCTTACTGAATTCCACCTAGTTAAATTTGGCTTTGATTCTCCTTGGAACTCTTTAGGAGTTCATTTATTATTTTGAAACATAATTTTTCAGTGCATTTCGTTTTTTTAATTTTTTAACTTTTCATTCCAGCTTTCTGCGAATTTCAAGAATTATCATTCAGTTATTAGACTTTTTCCTCTTTCATTTTTTTTTTTTTATCTTGGCATTAAATGTTATATGCACATGTTGTTGCTAGATTTGTAATAAATATTGTTGTGCATTGGTTTGTTGATCTTGATGTAGAGGTCCTTGAGAATTTGAAGTTTTTGTTTGTTAATTTCATGGTGTAGTATATTGGTGTTGTTAACTATTATTTTCCTGTACTGTGAGGCAAAAGTTGCACACCATAGAGGTTAAAGGTTAGTTTGAAGAGGTCCTGTTGAGTGGCCAGCAAGGTCATCAAACTTTTTCTTTAGGGACATTTGAAATCAGTTGTTTATCAGATGCTTCCAAGAAATGTTGAGGAACTTAACGAAAGAATTAAATATGAATGCTGTAAAATGACAGAGGAAACTCTCCGACATGTTAATGAATCATGCAGGGACAGAATTGAAATGTTTTGAAATTTGAGGAAGACATTTTGAACACACAGGATTGGTTTTTGTGATATCTTTATTTAATTTAATTATTTTCAGGGTTTTGGCACTGATGAATCAACCCTTGTTGAAATTCTCTTTTCTCGAAAAACTGCTACAATTCAGAAGATCAAAGAGACTTATGAAGCAGGTAAGCAATCACTATCTGAAAAGTTCCATCACAATTTGTTTAAAAAATAAATATGAAATGTATATTTCATATTTATTTTGTTTGATTCAGCAGTAGCAGCAACAGAATTAGGGAATGACCAGATTTCCCAGAACTCATAAAAATCCTGAGTCCTCTTCAGCCTCTTTTTCACACTTCCTTTTCAGCAGCCACAACCTTCAAGGCTAAGATCGAAGGACAATTTATGGCCCTTGCTTCAGGAGATACATGGCCTGGCATGGTAGCTTGACCTCAGATTTCTCGTTCCTTATGGGAACGAGCAGAAATCTCCCTTTGAGACACCTACCAGAAGGACTACTCACAGCCCTAACTGCAGAAGATACATGCCAATCCCAGCAGTTTGACACTTAGATTTCTTGTTCCTCATAGGAACAAGTGAAGAAATCTCTCTATGAAACAAGGGAAGAATGTTAACTGGGAAATTCAGCTCTTTTCCTGCAAAATACCACTATTTTGCATTCTCTTTTCAACCACAAATAAAAGATGTTAAACAGTTATTTCGACCCTTGGGTTTCAAACACACAAGCAACTGAGAAAGTATATACGTCATAGACATATATATTTCCAGAATATGGTGTCACTCTTGCAGCTGGCATTAATATATTAAAGAAAAACCCAAAACTGTTGATGGAAAAAATGGACAACTTGCCAAAACCTAAAACTTTTATCCAGATACAGCCTTTATAGACAACAATATTGAAAAAAGAAAGAAAAAAAGGTCTAAGGCAAACTTACATACTCAGTAAAGTGCTCGAAGCCTAGATTGTGTAGACTGAGCAAAAAATGCTTACCAATGTTAAATCCAGTGAAAGGACAGTTCTAGTTGTAACCAGAGTTTCATGCTCACATGACCATCAGATGACAATATATATTCACACACATTTTGGAATCCTGTCAATGCAGTGAAGGAGAGAAGCACTGGAACATTTGCTTTCTGTATCTCTCTTCAAATTCAGTTAATTTCAACCAGTTGTAATTTTATGTAGCTTTAAATTATAGAAATTTTATTTAAGTTTAATATTTTCTCTTGAACAAGATTTAAAAATATATTCTTTTTTGAAAAATTTTTTTTTTCCCCCCAGAATATGGTGTCACCCTTGAAGCTGACATTGATAGCGAAACTGGTGGAGACTTCCGGAGGTTACTCCTGCATCAACTGAAAACAAAGAGGGACGAGACGAAAGGACTGGACATAAATCTAGAAATGGCTCGGCAAGATGCTCAGGAATTGTATAGAGTGAGTTGAGCAGATATACCATTAAAACCCATGTAATTTGCGCACATGTGTAATTTATGCTGGTGATTTTCATGATAAAATTTGTTAAAAAAGAAGAAGCTTCTACCCGCTTAAAATTCACCCCCCAAAATTTTCAGAATTGCTGATATGGCCAGGGGGAAGAGGTTTTCAATTTAGTTGTATTTAGCATGATTTTACTTACAATTAGATTTTATTAAATTTTCATTAAATAAAAATAATTTCTAATGACTTTGAATCAAAGTTTGATGCAGACAGTTTTTTTATGTTGGATGATGAAGACTAGTTCTTTGGATCTTATAAACAGCTCTGACTTTAACAAGTGAACAATAAATACTAATTTTGCCAATATCACAGCAAAACAAGAAAGACAGACCAGAATAAAACCATACTGTCAATATTATTCATATCATTATGTATATCCAGTCAAAAATATCCATATTACTACATATGTCAATGGTGTTTCATTATGTTAGATGGAAACTACAAGCAGTGTAAAATATGACACGTGTTATGCTCATGTGTGTAGAAGTCAGGATCATGATTATCACCATTGTGAATGTTTACAACCTTTTCCTTACCATCCTCAACAATTTTACTGATCTCACAACAAAACTAGAAAAACAGACCAGAATAAAACCATACAGTCAAAATTATCCATATCATTGCATATTTTTTTTTTCGGTCAAGAATATCCATGTCACTATGTCGATGGTGCTCCATTGTGATAGGTAGAAAATCCAGGCATTGTAAAATATGGCCCGGATTGTGATTACCAGCATGAACATAAAACTTCAAAAAGTAGTTAACCATTTAATGGTTTTTAGTAAATTTATACAGAAAAAGTAAGCATTATACAACATAAATAAAAGTCAACCTTATTACATTTAAAGCCTTATTTTTTCTATATAAATTTATTCTGACATTAAATGAGTCAACTTCTGATACAAATGTTTTTTTTATATTTTGTATGTCTCTTTTTTTCATTATTTACATTATTCAGACTATTGTCCTCATCTTTGTCATTATATTTATTGCAACATTTCGGCCATTGTACGCTCTGGCCTCCTTCAGGTGGTTGGAATGTCGAACTGAACCCTTTATTTCGCTCACTGGGGTAGACTGTTCTAGTTCCACGTACCATGTTTAATGGATGTCAGTTATCAGTTATTGCCTGTTAATTTCCCTCTGAAAGTTCTCCACTGCCTTAACCGGGTATTGAACCCACACTCTTTGGGTTCTGTCACTGGATCTAACCAATGCCTTTATCCACTGTGCCATGTGTCCTTGAGGACATCTGTGTATGAATTTCTGGGTACAGTGTAACCCAGAAGAGTTGTTGGGACCGGAGAAGAAGTCTCTTGTATCCGGGTTTTTCTTATATCAGGTTTGGTCTGATTTATTAACACAGGCTCTAATTTGGGACCAGAGAAAATCTCTCTTATATCCGGGTCACACTGTATTATAACAAGAAAAATTTTTAAAATTCTGGAAATGATCTACTCTTGTAATTTATGCACACCCTACAGTTTTTACTTTTGCGAAAAAAATATGTGTAAATTACATGGGTTTTTTACAGTATGCAAAATTACGTAATTTAATGTATATCAAATTTAAACAGAATTCCTGCCATTAAAGTACTCGATTCTTGCCAAGTCTTGACAAGGGATTGTAAAAAAAAAAAAAAAAAGAAAAATTTCTTTCAAAAAATATTGAAGCATTCAAAAAATATTGAACATTTTTTACTTTTAATTTAATAATTATCTATATATGCATGTCATGTCTGTATCGGTGTGTGCATGCATGCTTGTATGTACATGTATATCTACTATTGTCCTCCAATGATCTGAATGCAAAAGTATTGAAACAATAATAATCCGTAACTAGATGTAATGGGCTGGAAATCTGAGAATGGGGGATAACAGGATTCTCAAACAACTTTTCTATGGTGAAGTAAAAACAGGAATGTGTGTGTGTGAGAGAGAGAGAGATTGTATGCTGTTATTGAGGCCAAGTTATATAGACCATCTGAAAGGTCAGTTATAGCAATTAGATAAATCTTCAAAAGACAAGTTTTTCCTTTCTTGAAGCATGTATACATTTTTGGGCAGACTCTGTGTGTGTAAAATATATAATTTTGTTTAATGATTGCAAAAGTGTCAAACCCAGGGTCACAAACTCAAATTCATACAACTGAATAATATATATAATTTTTGTGTATATAAAAAAAAAAAAAAAAAATATGCAGATGTTGTGAATGCTTGTTTTTTTTATTTTTTTATTTTTTATTTGAATAAAAATATTTGACTTTTAGTAAGTATTCATGTTTCCTGATCAAATAAGATTTATTTTTTTACTGTATCGCCTTTTTTGTTTTGTAGGCTGGTGAAGGCAGACTTGGGACGGATGAATCCAAATTTGATTGCATTTTTTGCAGCCGTAGTTTTGGTCACATTAAAAAGATTATCCAATTTTACAAGGAAATTACTGGACATGAATTGGAAAAAGCAATTGAGAGAGAAACCAGTGGGGATCTGAAAAAGGCTTATCTCGGAATTGGTAAAAAAATTTTTTCATTTTATTTTTTTTAAAATTTTACATTAAGCAATTGAAATTGTGTAACAATGCTGTATCCATTTTCAACAGACATTTGAAGAAGCAAAGATGATGTTAATAAATAGAAAATGTCAAAAAATCAAGACGTATATATGTTAGCTGTTTCCTTATAAGGAAATATTTGGTATTCATTGACCAAACTGTTAATGTTGTTGTCGGTTGAATTTTATAAAATTCTTTTTCAGCAAAATAGCAAGGATCTTCACTCCAAATAATGTAAAGTTACTTATTGCAAATGTTAATTCATCCCAAGAAATTATTATAAATTTTAAATCAAAGTTTGTTTTATTAAATTTTTGGCACTCTTTTGACACAAATTTTAAAAATCAAAATTTGTTTAGCTTGCCTCACAACAACTCCAACCCTTAGAATGAAAAGTTACCAAAAATCACAGAGTTATTCACATTTCATAAGTACGGATGAGGTACTTACAAAGAAGTTTTTACAATTTAAAAAAAAAAAAAGATTTTTTAAAATTTGTTTTTGGCATGTTTATGAAAGATGATCATGAATATAGCACGTCCAAATGGCTCACATTTAGAGCAATTGAGAAGGTCAACCCAACCAGTGTGCAATGAAAGGGCCGTGTTCTGAGAGAATTTGGTGTGAATTTTAGTAAACATTTCTTTTTATTTTGGGGTGAATTAACAGAAAAGATCGAATAGCAACTTTAAACTTTAATCAAATTGGAAAGCAGAAAATCGGGGAATTTTGGTTTAAGGCCAGGGAAATAAAATAATTTTCTGTTGCAGCTTGAGATGAATTGAATGATATTCAATTTGAAAATTGACTAATGAGATATATATAAATATAAAAGTGAACATAGAAGTCAACACTTAGAGGCGACAATCTGTTTCATGCTATATGCAATTGTCAGGCCACGTGTGCTGTTATTTTTCTTGGCTATTTATACATATACGGGTCAGTGGTGCATTGTGGGTAGTCTATTATGGCGGTTATTTTACCGGAAGTCGTTTATTTATTTATTTGGGTTAAATTATTTTGCTTGTTTTTATTTATTTTTTTATTTTTTGTTTCTTATTTATTTATTTATTTTTTAATCAGTGTTTTTATTAACATAGTAAAAAATTGTTTATATCACTTATTTGATAGTTTTGTTTTGGTTTGAGAATTTAATTAAAGCTATTTGTTGGGTTTTGGGGTTGATTGTTGTAGTTTATTCTAACTATTACTTTGGCAGGAACAGTTTTTAATTTGTGTTTATTTGGGTTGATTATCTTTATTTGTTTTTTCTAACGGTAACTTTATCGGTATTGGTTTGTTTATTTATTTACTTGGATGAATTTAGGTCAATTTATTTTACTTGTATATTTTCTCTTTTCGGTTTTCGATTTTTAAGTAACGTAGTATTCATTTTTTATTTTTATTTCATTTTTTATTTTATTTATTTATTTTTTTTTTTTTTTTTTTTTTATCGTTATATAACAGTTATAGCTATTTTTTGGTTTGATTTTTTAGTCTAACTAATATTTTGGTCATAATGGTTTGCTACTTTGTTTATTATTATTTGGGTTTGTTGTTTTGTTTTGTTTTTTTGTTATTTTTGTTTTTTGTTATCCCATAAATATAGCACACCTTAAGACTATATTTCTTCACATATATATATTTTCATGTTAATTGTTCTGATGAGCTTTCCTCTTCAGTACCTTGACTTTATGAATTTAATCACAGTACTATCTTGGCAGCGAGATCTAATCATCTTATAGTTAGAATTGCTAGATGCCACTGTAAGTTCTATGCTAACAGTTTCTTCTCTCACACTTCTTGCTTGTGGAACTCTTTCAGCTCTTAGTAGAGATTGAATAAATTTGGAGAGAAGACATCACACCCCTTTCTATTTTTGTGTATCTATTCAGTTCATTTTCTATTAGTATGTAGGTGGTTTGCTCGCAGTATATGTTCAGGATTATTCTTTTCAAAATAGATTGAGTTTTCCTAGCAGTTCAAATAGGTCTTTGTGCCGTACCTTATCAAATTCTTTTGCATAATCTAAAAAACATCCTTGTGCACTTGTATTGCTCTCTCTATTTCTGGTTGACTAAACACTCCCCCCCCCCAAAAAAAATACCACTTCCTGTTAGTATAACTAAGTGTTTATTTGGATCACTGTCTTTATTCTTAATCTTCTTTATTATGGTAACAAAAAGAATCTTAATATTCACAGTAACCCTGTCAGGCAGACTCCTCCTCATACACACACATATATATATATATATATATATATATATATATATATATATATATATATATATATAATTATTTATTTAAAAATATGATTCCATCGCTACATAAGAGTTCTCATGTTTCAAAACAAGTCGAAAACTTCAATATAATTATTTGAATTAAATTAAATTAAAGTACCAAGCTTTAGACACCCCACCCTTACCCTGACTTGACCTCTTTGAATGTAACTGAGATATTGATACAAATTATTAACCCTTACGCCCTTTTTTTTTTTTTTTTTTTTTTAAGTAATTAAGTAATTGCTCTAGCCGTTATCATAGTAATTTTAATAATGAATATGCTTATGAAACACGTAAATTTCAGGAATTATTAAAAAAAAATTTCGCTTGAAGATGGAACAGAGCTTGGTACTTTAATTCAATTTAATTCAAATAATTATATTGAAGTTTTTGGCTCTTGTTTTGACACATAAGAACTCTTATGTAGCGATGGAATCATATTTTTAAATAGATAATTATATTTAGGCTCTACTTTTGTATCGAGCATTATTTTTTAAAAAATAATAACAAAAATACTAAAGAACTAACGAGTTCTTTCCTATTTTCTATATATTTTTATACAGACACACACAATCATTTGATCCCAAGCAAGGCAATAAAGCCACTAAGATGCAAGGGCTTACTGAATTTTAGAGGATATGAGAAAAATATACTATTAAGGAAAGAATAAGAATTAAGACGGAAGATGATGATTGACAAGGAATTTAAATTTTTGAAGATCAAAGTTGATAGGCCTGAAGAGAGTTCCACAAGAGTGATAAAAGAAACTGTTAGCATAGGACTTATGGTTATATCTAGCTATTTCAACTGTAAAATGATGGGACCTAACTGCCAACCTAGTACTGCACCTAAATTCATAAAGTCTAGGTACCTTAGAGCAATGTTCATGAGAACAGTTACCATGAAAGTATTTATAGGAAAGGCACAGGGAAGCTACATAAGTATGTAGCTATATAATCCAATGCAGCTAATGAAAGGATCATGGAATTTGTATTGACTCTGATCATGGTTGAACAATATAATACAAGCCTATGTTTCTGAAGCTAAAAATAGTGCATAAATTAAATCCTTGAGTATAATATGACCCCATACAGCCATCCATATGTAAATTTAAATCTCAGTGTTATATCTACAAACTGGATACATTGTGTGAACAAATGGGGGAATATGAAACAGTAGCAGCCGCATATCATAGGATTTATTGCCTCCATATTCAAGCGGAAAAAAACTGCATAATTTATACAATAGTTAGGCCTTTGTTGTAACATTAATGATATCAAAACATGACAGTTCATATGTATTCCATTTATTTAGGTTTTTAATCAATTTCAGTGAACTGTGACAAAGACTTCAATTAACACTGATTCCTAATGAACAAATATGGCCGACATATCAAATGCCTTTTTGTAAACAATTGTTATCATAAACACCTGCCTACTTTGTGTTTTATTATCTATTGTGCTAACTGAGTTTGTGTAATCTTGATGTTTCAATTGATGTTTTTTAAGCTGAGCAAAAATATTCTTAAAATGTGTACCTATGTATAATACAAACATCCTTTTTTTTTTTTTATTTTGCCATTAATTTCCATTGCAAATTTCTTGTATTATGCCCCACAGAATGTGGTAATCCTCTATAACAGCTGCCATCAAAAATAACTTATCTAATGTTGACATAAAATTCATCAACACCACCTCTAAAACAATAAGAGTTAGCACCAAACAAGATAGCAACAACAACAGGACAAAGGCATATATAAAATAGTTTCTACAAACTGACCAATGGTGTATATTGGTGAAACATCCAGAAACCTCAAAAAAGATTAGATGAGCATTTCAAAGATATATATCCACGTTGAATCCATTACATTCACTTACGTGCTAATACCCTTGGGAAAGGTGTGAATCCTCCTCTTCTCCCTCCAGCTATTGGTTAAATAGCAGGACAGACTGGGTTCTATAGCCTTCTATGGCAACTTGTCTAGGAGAAGGACAACTCTGAATTCAAAACCTGCGGAGGGTCGTTTGGGGGACCTTGTGGCACCAGGTCTCTGTATTCGGCCCTTCAAAAAGTGTGGATGGTCCTGCACGAAACCTTCACCACTATAATCAGATCTCATGTGCTGGTGTCGGGCTGTCAGTTTCCTGGAAACTGATTTGCTTGACCCTCATACGTCGAACCCAACAGGAGAATTGATATATATAAAATTTATTTTAATCATTTCGCTCCAAGCAAGGCAATAAAGCCACTAAGATGAAGAGAATATGAGAAAAAAAAACATAATTAAGGAGAGAGAACAATAAAAGATTAAGACAGAAATTGACATAGCAGTTAAATTTTTGACGATCAAAATTGACTGTGGGAAACAAGATGAGAGAGAGAGTTCCATAACTGTTAATGTGGAACTTACGGTTGCATCTAGCCATTTCAACTGTAAAATGATGAGACCTAGCTGCCAATCTAGTACTGCATTTAATATCTGTCTATATTTCTGAGATGAGGTATTTATGTACACTATTTACATTATTTGGATTATTGCCGCCATATTTATTACAACGTTTCGGCCGTTGTACACTCCTGCCTTCTTCAGGTGGTTGGAATGTCGAACAGAACCCTTTATTTCGCTCACTGGGGTAGACTGTTCTAGTTCCACATGCCATGGATGTCAGTTATCAGTTA